TTCCATTATTTAGTGATTTTTCATTCCATTCTGTTTAATTTAGTGACCTCAAATTCAGTGCATTTCAAATGCCAGGTATCCCCAGCAATAGCTGTTTTTTATCACCCTCTTTCCCCGACTAATGTAACAGTTACTCGTCAATTCATTTTCTCCTTGACTAGATTTTCCGCACCAAACATTGGACGTTCAGTCAGGAAATTGAGCTAAACGTTGAACACAGGGTGTTTGAGAATGTTTCTTAACATCTATTTTAGATAATTACATGTTTGTCTTTAATTACTTGTTATTTTACTTATTGTTAGTAAATATGTCGGATTCATTTCATTGGATGAATGAATATCGATGAAGATAATGAATTAATGAACGCATTATTGTTGCCTTAGTGATATCAGCATCGAGCGATACAACGGTCAAAGTGTGGAATGCTCAGAAAGGATTTTGTATGTCAACACTGCGGACACATCGTGATTACGTTCGGGCACTGGCATATGCGCGTGATATTGAGATGGTTGCGAGTGGTGGTTTTGATCAGTTGATTTACTTGTGGGACGTTGCCACTCTGACGAGACTAACCGCGCTGAATAACACCGTTACAAGTCAGTATCATCCACATCACCGCTTCTCTAGTCATATCATATTCAGTTCTGAAAAATTCTTTTTGGAGAATGTTTATTCATCTCTTTTTTGATGGTGATTTCAGGCAGTATACAGTTAACGTTCAGTTCCGTTATTTCGAGTTAGCCGAAGATCGTTTTTCATCAAACTGTTTACAGAAAAAAAAACAACCTTATAAGCAGCCTTATAACATAATGAATGTTTTTCAATTGAATTCTATTACCTGTCCGACAAACTTATGAATTTGTTCTATTGTTAGCAAAAAAATTTATAATGAATGCTTTGCAGCATCATCATTGAATGGCAACAAAGACAGTATTTATTCGTTAGCGATGAACCCATCTGGCACACTCGTCATCTCGGGATCTACTGAAAAGGTTTCATTTTCGAGTTCTTCCCTCTCTTTGTCGTCATCAACGAATTGTCGATAAAATCGTCTTTGTTGAGACTGTAATATCCATGTATCTTTTGAAGGATTTACTGAAGTTTAGGAAACGCGTTAGTTCATCATTATAATTGAGCAGTTGAATTCAATGTGAATGTATTTTTAAGGTTTTACGTGTTTTTGATCCGCGTGCATGTCAGAAGTTAATGAAGTTGAGAGGGCATACGGACAATGTCAAGGCAGTTGTTGTGAATCGCGATGGAACACAGGTTTTTAATTAGATGTTTCTGATCGTCATTATAATATACCTATTTGTATTTTGTTATCTTGTTTGATTTTTTCACTTAAACGCGTTGAATGGATAGTGTTTTTGTTCAAAAGACAAACATGTCGATGCTCTATCGGGGTCTGTTAAAGTTGATAATGAGCGAACTTCATTGGAAACTTCAGCAGAAATTTAAATGGCTTTATTAAAGTTGATAATGAAATTTTTATAGCGTTCGGAAAAAAAGTTGAAATAAAATTTATGTTTCTTGTACGATTATTAAATGACAAGTGAAATTGTTTCATATGTGAAGTGCGTATCGGCAAGTAGTGATGGTACCATTAAATTATGGAGTATTGGTCAGCAGTGTTGTATATCATCACATAAATGTCATTCAGAAGGAGTTTGGGCTTTGCAGGTGCTGAGAAAGATCATTTCGTCACCTTTATTCTATAATCACTCCTTTGAAATCTTTCTAAAACTTTCAGCAATTCCTTTTATTTTGTTTAGTTCCAGTGTGAAAGATTTGCTATTAGATAATTTTCGAAAATGATTCTCGTTGGACGGAATGAATTTGTAAAAATTGGCTATGCAAAGGTGTGGAATTGTCTGTGAGTGCGTATTTTCTCGTCTCGTTCTTTTCAAGCTAAAAAGCGATCGAATCGCGGTGATAAACGCATCGAAATTTCAGGCAGACTCAAGCTTCTCATATGTATATTCGGGTGGTCGTGATAAACAAGTATTTCGAACGGCGATTAATGATTTCAAAAGTTCCCAATTGATGTTTGTTGAAGATGCGCCCATTCAAAGGGTATTTATCGTTTCTTTACCGACCCAACGATTCGTTTCTTTTAGATTTTAATCGTCCTACATCAAATTTTGATAACTTCCAAATAATGCAATTCGATATCAAGTCAATTGAATAGTTGTCAATCAGTTTCTCAAAACATTCATCGCAAAGGAAATTTTCGTTAAGTTGTGAAGATTTGAGATTTCAGTTAGTCAGTTTTCAGTTGCAACTGACAGATGTTGATCGTCCTCGTTCAATGTGGGCTGCAACTTGGAACTCATCGATAAAACGATGGCAGTTGCCGAGTGAGGGACAGCTGAGTGTGAACATAGTGGATGATGATAGCTGCTATGAGGATATGGTACCGTTCGTTTACGAGCCTGACCTCATCATACCCGGTATTTAGTCAATTCGTTGTTTTGATCTGCTTCAATTTTTAGATGATTTCGTATTCCTGTATACAATTAGTATTGTGGAGTAAAACTTGGAAATGAATTGTTAGGATAGCTTGGAATTAAGTTAACTGTAGAAATACTGAAGCTGGTGTTCAAAAATTATTTTGAATGCTTTCAGTTGAACAAAATTATGTGTATTCCTCTTTGTCTTGATTTCGGTTAACGTCAAAACAATGTATAAATAATTTACCGCGAAATAATTATGGTTCAGAGTGATGTAATATTTTATGCTAGAATGCCTTCATAAACTAATAAAATGCGCAGTTGAAATAGAGCTGCCACTACTCAAGTTTTTGTGAACATTGATGAAATTTCGAAAATGATTCTATCTCTATTAACTATCGCGTTGAGACAATTAGTCAAGATAAAATCTTCCCCACTTTTCATGGATATTTTTGCGAAAAAAAAACTTCTGCATGAATTTCAGTCATTAGGCTAGGTTTCACTGTAAACTTGACATGAACCTCAGTCTCGGAGTCAACCATAAATTATGCCTCACAGTCAGCCTCAGCCATAAGGAGTGATGAGCCCTAGTTTGGGATTTGTTTGTATAGCTCTTTTTATGGACAATTTAATTAGAACGTTACCCATTTTATGTGCTCCAAGTATTCGCCAGCACGTTGTGCTCAACGACAAACGTCACAT